GGTCTTCCGGAGCTCCGCATCGGTTTCATACCTTTCGACGCTCAGAGATGACCACTGCATGACCCTGACACCTCTCTAAGTGCTTGAAAAGGCTGGCTTTGATGACGTCAATGTAGCTGTGGAACCCAAAACAGAGGAGGAGGTGGCGAGAGAGGGGAACGGTGATGGAGTGTGTGGACCGAAACCGAGGGCGGGGTCATATCCAGGACTGACGGAGGGAGCAACAAATGAAAGAAAGCAGCAGTTCAAGAGGAGAGCCATCAGACCGTGCCTTCCCTGGCCCCATACCTGGTGACATTTGCGCGCCGATCCGCAAAGTCCTCCCCCCGAAAGACCAACAATCCCCGAGGTCGTTTGCCACTCCCCACCAGCTCCGTTTTGGGCAAAATGGCCCGGGCGATGACATGCGCTGTCTCTGTCTTGCCCACCCCTGTCGGCCCCGTGAACGCCAAGACCAAGGGTCGGGGATGGTCCTTCATCAATGTCATCTCCCAATGACTGAGGCCCGTGGTGATGGCTGTCAAGGCCCTGTCTTGGCACTTTATTTTGGCTTGCACGGCCCGCCGTGCCGTTTCCGAGAAATCCATGGCAAACGGACAGAAATCATGATAGCCTGTATAGGTCGCGAGGCTATCCCACGTGGATTTAAAAAAATTGCTGGTAGCGTCCAGGGTAGACCCCCAGGAGGTTTGGGGGGAGGCGGCGGGCAGAAAGAAAAGGACGACGAGGAGAGGGAGACTGTACAAACAGGGGGAGAGGCGTGACCGCGGGGATTCTGGTGGTTTCCGTGGAGCAACTCCCGTGAAGGCCATCAAAATATCGAGCCAGCCGACGCGGCACCGGGACGGCGTTCACCTTGTACCTCCTAGGATGCTCCCAAGCTCCTTAAAGCCTCGTCCGGGCGCCCGCCTCCAATCCCACGCACCGCGCCGTGTCAACCGATGATAAAACCTAAAATCATGAAGAGGACCAACGTGACGTGAGAGAGGGACACATTTCTCCGCCACCTGTGACGGCCCAAGTGGGGCGTGGGAAGGCGGAATCCAGCGAGGACGTGGCCCACCCCCCCCGTAGGCAGGCTGCATCGTGGAGACCATGGCTTTTGCGATACAAATTGGGAAAGTTTCATGCTGAGATGACTCGTAAAGGGTGGCCTCGCCGTGAGAACATTGCGAGCACCAAAAATCGCAGGAACATGGCCTTCAATGTCATTCTACTATGACTTCGATGGCCGGAGGTTATGAATGGCTGAATATGCGGCTGGGGCAGACATTTTTCACTCATCCATTTTTTTTCCCTTCTATTCCCTACACCTTTTCGATATAGGGGTAGGAAAACATGGTATTTCGTGTAAAATTACCATTGCCGTCCTCGGCGGACGATGTATTTATGGACGAGGAGGGCGTGCTAATAGACATCACGAGTCCAGTCCCATGGGGAGGTACGAAGTCTGTGACCACAGAGGAGACTTCGATTAACTTGCCCGTGCGAGAAATAGAAACATGCGGCCTTGCCTACTTTCGATATCAGTTGAAGAGACAGGCGATCGAGGCAGGAGAGGCAGGGAGCGGAGGCTTTGATCCATGTAAACGCCTCAGAGACGAGGCCGAAGGGGAGGAGGAAATAGGGGAGGGCGGGGAGGGCGGCTCGGATGACACGACATTCCGGTTTCCCAAGAAGACCCTGACACCTAAGGATGTGAAGAAGATGGATTACTACGAATTGTTGGGCTTGGGGCATTTATCAGCGACGGAGGTCGGTCCAGACTTATTGAAGAAAGCATACCGAAAAGCGCTCCTTCTGTACCACCCGGACAAGACTGGTCGCGGAGATCGCGACGAGGTCTTCATCGAGGTGCAAAAGGCGTACGAAACGCTGAGCGACGGACGCAAAAAACGCGCGTACGATTCGGAGATGAATTTCGACGAGAGCATCCCGACGGGAAGGGAGAAGGGTGACTTTTTCAAGGTGTATGGCCCTGTCTTTGACCGGAACGCCCGCTTCGCCGTGAAACGGCCGGTGCCAAATCTAGGTCGGGAGGACAGCAAAATCGAGGACGTGTACCGGTTCTACGACTACTGGGGTCGATTTGAAAGTTGGCGGGATTTCAGTTTGAAGGCGGCGGAGGAAAACGATTTCCATGTGGAGGCCGCCGGTTCCAGGGAAGAGAAACGATGGATGCAGAAGGAGAACGACAAGCTGGCGCGGGCCATGAAAAAGGAGGAGTACAAGCGGTTGGCCACCCTGGTGGAGAGAGCACGGACGGCCGATCCTCGTTTGAAGCGGGCGAAGGAGTTGGAGAAGGAGAAGAAGGAGGCGATCAAAGCCGCCCGAACCGCGGCGGCGCGGGAACGGGAAGTGCAAAGGCGCAAAGATGCGGAGGAAGAGACGAAGAAGAAGGAAGAGGAAGAAGCACGGTTGAAAGAGGAGAGAGCGCGGGCGAAGCTGGTTCGGGACCAAGCCAAGAAGAGGATGCGTAGTGCCCGAAGTCGGTTTCGCGCCCTGTGCAGCCTGTTGCACCGCCAAGAGGAGGAGGCCGTGGGCGAAGAAACGGCGGGACGAAGGGTGGTGTCGGTCGAGGAGGAGGATTTCATGTTCGAGCACGTGGACGTGATGGGGATGGAGGAGGCGGTGGCGGCCTTGGAGGGGGTACCGTACGTCTACCAGGCGGAGCCGGACGGGCCATCCCCCCCCCCGGCCCGGGTATCGCCTGCAGGGGTGGCACGCGTCACCGCGATCGTGGAGCGGGAGCGCCAAAAGAGACGGGAGGCGAAACGGGAGGAGGAAACAAGCAAGGCCGCGTCTGGACTCGCCCACGCGTCGGCTGAAAAGGACGGAGGAGAGGAGTCCTCCCCGAAGGAAGCGGCGTGGACCGAAGAGGAGCTCGGGGTGCTGGCCAAGGCAGTGGTGCGCTTCCCCGCGGGCACGCAAAAACGCTGGCAGTGCATTGCCGACTATTTGAACCACATGGTCCGGGGCGCGTCTTTGCGGAGCAAGGAGGAATGCATCAAGCAGTACCAGGTCGTTCAGGCAGGGGTCAGTAAGAGCCGCGTGGTGGCAGCCACGGGGGGCGCCGGGGCGGGGGGTGGAAGCGAGGGAAGAAAGTCGGGGAAGACGGGGACGAGCAGGGGGGAGGACAATGGAAAGGCCGTGGCAAGCGGGGATGGGTGGAGTCAGGAGCAACAGAAGCAATTGGAGGCCGGGCTCGTGACTTATCCTGCCAGCATGGAGAAGAACGAAAGGTGGAAGAGGATATCGGAGGGCGTGCAAGGCAAAAGCAAGAAGGAGTGTGCAGAACGCTACAAGGCACTGCGGGCGGCCGTGGCGAAAAAGAAAGAGGAAGCAGCCGGCGCGAAAACCCAGCCCCTCAAGTAGAAAGGGAAGCGGAGGGTACGAGGAGGATGGTACGGGCTACAAAATCTCGCCATTGGGGACAGAGGGACTGCTCGTGCAGCAATTTTGCAAAGAAACCAGCATGCGGACGCAACGTGGTTGTGAGGCGACACCAGACGGTCGCCACTGTCCAGGCGTCCGGCAGTCAGACCTTTCTCTTCGAATTTTCCACTTTACATCCCTGCATTTCTTTCTGCCCTGTGATTGCTTCTATCTCCTTGCTATCTCCTACGCTCGTTCTCCTACCCGCCTGTCAATCCGGGCGGGAAGTATTTCTCACGCGCCACTCCTGTCGGTATGGGCCGTCGGGCCGAGTCTAACGCCACCTCGAAGACCTTCTGAAGGTGTTCGAAACTCTCCAATCCCACCGAGACCCGTACCAAATTTGGACAGACGCCGTGGCGGCGGGCAAAATCCAATTCGTAGTAGTGGGCCAAGAGGGTGTAGGGGCAGGCCAAGGTGAAATTGGTGCCCAGAGAGGGGCCTTTGAACACATCCAGGGCGTCATAAAAGGCCGTGGGAGACAGGCTAGGGCTCAGGGACACGGAGAATAGACCGCCATAGCCTCCTTCTGCCCGCTTGAATGCGTCGTATATCGCCCGTTGCGTCCGGCTGGGGTAGAAGACCTCCGCAACCCCTGCTTGGTTTCCCAGCCACTCCACCAACCGGCCCGTGGTCTCGTTGATTCTCCGAGAACGTTCCTCAAAATCCCTCGCGTTCTCCCACACCACCCGAGCGTCCTCTTCGTACAATTCTGCGTCGTTTCCTCCCTCCATCGTCTCCATCGCCGTCCTTAGCCCCCCGTACAGGGGGGACGCACGGTTCAGCACCAAGCTGCCGGCCATCACGTCTGATTTTCCGGAGAACAACTTGGTCAGGCTGCTCACGCACATGTCCACTCCCCCCCCGGCACCCCCCACGCGCATCAAATCCACGTTGTGGAAATTGGAAATGGTGTCGTCCACGACCACAGGGAAACCATAGCGACGTCCCAGCGCCACCAACCGGCTCAGGTCCGGGTTCTGCAACAAGGGATTGCTCGGAAATTCGGTAAAGACCGCCATCACCTCCTTTTTCTCCAAAAGCTCTTCCAACACACTCAAGTCCCGTGCATCCCCTTTGCCCAGAAAATGCACCCCGTGGGCATTCCATTCTTTCCGGAGGCAGATCTTCAGAGTATCCAAGTACGTGAACCCAAACACAACCACCGGCCGCCCCGGACGCGCCTGACGGCACATATTAAAGGCCATGAAAATGGCGGCCATGCCTGTGATGGTCAAATGTACGTCAACCATGTGTTGCCCTGTCAGGTCCGCTATCCGTTCCCGCAGTCCCCGACGATAGCAATCGGGCACGGCGGCGCTCGCCGTCCTAGCGCCCGGGGCACAGGACGCGGATGGCCGGGGGGAGGTTGGAAGACCATCCAGCAAGGTGGGAACGGGGTGACCCAGGCACGCCAAGACCCGGGCCGCTTTTCGGGAGGAGAGGATCTCCCCGCTGTGCTGCCAATAGGCCTTGGCGTCCTTTGCGGCCATGGCCGGGAAGCTCACCACATGCGTGTCCAGGACACCCAAACTATGTATCCCCACGGGGAACCCGGGCTCGTGCTTGTGAGCCTCCAGCAAAAATCGCCGGCACCGTTCCGCGGACCCCATGGAGGGAAAAGGTAGGGCCTCCACTATTTCGTGCCCGGCCACTGCCCCGCTTTCGACCGCACCAGCCTTCCACAAATCAACCAGTTGCTTGACAAAGGGGTGGTAGACAAAACGTGGATAGCCCAAGAGCATTTTCTCTGTCACATCCACGTCTCCTTCTTCGTATCCCACCACGTGCTGCCATTTGGGGAGGGCGACTGACACCGCATGGTCGTCCAAAGGTATTGGCATGCCTAAGGTCTTCCGGAGCTCCGCATCGGTTTCATACCTTTCGACGCTCAGGTGCTTACATAAGACCCCTACGTTTAGGAACGATGGTGACAGTGATGAGGCCGATGATGGCCGGATAGACCGTCTTCCGCGAGATGCCGCTTTCAGGCCTTGCCGCCTTAGAAAGACCTGGCGAAGCAGCAACTTCATGCTGGTGCCCCGCCCCGGCCCTTGTATCCTGTATTGTATGGTTTGTGTTAAAAAAGAAGTCGATAAACGATTGTGTCCCCCGGACTGTCTTTAAATTCAGTCCCCATCGTCAAAGCTTGCACCTTGGTAAAGGTGAGAAGTATGAGTACGGTATGATCTTTATAAGTTCATCCCTGCTCCGTCTAGTTTCCGAAGACAGCAGTACCAAATTGCTGTCACCACGGAAGAAAAAATGGAGACATCCACTCTACAATGTACTCCTTTTTGCTCACTTGTGGACAGACGCACGCAAATGTGAAGCCGCCATTGGCGAACCACTCGGTTTTTAATGCCATCAGGTTGATGTTGACGCCATCATAACCATGATTTCCTGGTGCCAAGACACCTGTGGCCAGGATAAAGCCATTGTCAAGCAGGGAAACGGTTACCCCTGAACTCATCCGATGACGAGCAAAATTGTGCAGACTTTCTCAAATGTTTAAAGGTTTTAGGCAGAAAATGTTATAACCAGCAATAGCTCGCTTTTGCTTTGTGTCATACGTTTCGCATGCCGGGGCTGTCCTTGCTGCCCTATACAAGCCATTTCCTTCCTTTTTCGTACTTAAGTATTCTTTAAGGCTCCGATGGAAACCTAGGCAAGGTATGCGTACTTTTAAAGTAAAGAGTGTAACCTTTCAATGATATATTTTACCATGCCTGAAGTGAAGTCTGATACTTTCTGCCAGCACGGAGGTCGAACAGTGCGCTCCTCGGCCCATACACACATCCTGATGGTAACAACAGCTACAGTGTTTGATCGATGTACTGCGTCAAACGCTGCCTAGTATCAAGGAAGATTATCTCTCTATAGCCTTCTAATCTATGGTGCCGGTGATTGGTGTCGCTTTGGAAGCGTCTATATTCTCCAAGGGATGGGCCGTGTGAGGGACGTGAGCCCAAAAAGAATGAAGCTTCTTTCGAATACTTCCCTGTCGTTTCTTTCACTCCAACTTTTCCCTCGCATTGTAATACGCGTCCGAGTATTTTTCCAAGAAGATTCATCCTTCCTGCGACACTGAAGTTCGACAAGCATCCAACAGCCCAAAATCAAAGGAGACAGTACTGCAGACAAACCATTAGTTCTTTTTCTTAAGTTTCAAATTGTCTTAGACAGCCACAAAAAGCAAAAGGTTGCTGGCAAGCACTTTTTGAACTCCTTCACAGTCTGTTTGTCGTGTTTACTTGTGCATAATTGTCCACGAAAAAGTTTCAATATACGTGTCACGTTCCACCAGACACTAAGTGTGAAAACACTGCGGCTCCATGATTTTTCGTCCCTTTTCATCGAGATCATGCATCACTAGTGTCCTCCACCCCACGCGATTCTCGACAGCCCTCTGCCATTCATTCGCCTCGCCTATGTACATTTCTTCTCCCGCCCAACTCCCCTACACCCCTCACGTCCTATATTTTATGTTCATTGTAACCCCGCACCTGATAGTCTACATGCACAAAACACCGTTCCACGAAACTTTGCTGCTCCACCTTCTGCTGCAGCCCAAGCGCGATGTCGTGCGCTTCTTTGACATTCATATCCCAAGGAAGTACAACTTCCAACTCCACCAAAAAATTCGGTCCAAAATGATAAGCCCTGATGATATCCAGCTCCAACTGCGCGTGATGCTGCCCGGCCAGGTCGCTGATGTGTTCCAGGGTCTCAGGAGGGGCGGAGAGACCGACGATTTTGGACGCGTGGTCCATGCCTACGTGCAACCAGTTGTAAAAAATGAGGCAGGAGATGACGATCGCGCCGATGGGGTCGACGAACCAGGCTTTGGGGTAATAATGGGCCACTGTTGAGGAAAGGACCGAGAAGGAGTTGGTCATGATGTCGTTCTTGTGGTCTTCCGCCAGCGCCTCGGCCGTGCCGCTGACGCCCGCGAGGGTGCTCGAGTACAGGTAGAGGGAGAGTTTGACGCCAACCGCACAGACCATAATGCCAACAGTGACCGGCTCCATGTCTGTGGTGGTGCGAGAAACATTGCGCATGAGAGATGAAAGAGCCGAAACGGGGCAACCAGGGAGGGCGAGAGACCCGAGAGCACCCAGAAAGCTCTGCATCATCTTGGCCAAAGACGGAGACTCTTTGGGCACCGTTCCATGGAGTTTTGTACGATTAGCTAGTAGGCACTAGCGATTGTCAAGTATTGGTACAAATCTCTCGGAAAGCGTACCCAAGCCAAGACGGATTCCCCTTACTCCACTACCTCTGGCAACCTACCCCGGACCTCTCCATCCTCGCATTTCTTCCTACCCTACCACATCCCCATGCACCAACTGAGTCAAACTCCCTCCCTTCTTGATCAACCTCCCTTCCGGCAGCCTACCTAAGTGCGGTAATTTCCCATAGGCAATGGCCAGCACCAAGGTCCCGACCGACGCCCGCAACAGTTCCAAGGCTGCCACACCCATGATGACCGAGACGATGATCACACCCACAGGCTCTATCCGAGACCGACCCGCTGGATAATGCTCGTCGGAGGGTTTCCGCATCCCGTGCTCCGCTACCGAAAGCACTACTTGGGAGATGAGATCCAAGAGAGTGTCGACGAGGGAGGCCAGCACGGCCAAGGACCCTGACCGGAAGGCCGCGTACGCGCTTGCCATGGACAGGAGAACATTGGCACATATGGAGGCGTGCACGGCAAAGCGAACCTTGTTACTCAAGCGCTCTGCTTGTTCGGTTTCGCGTCGGGCTATCACGCAATGATCCTGGCAAGCATGAGGAGGAACATGGCTCCCAGCATCCCCGCTTCCGTACCGGTGGATAATCCCACCATTATTTCCGCTTGTCCACCCATTTCTGCTCAAAGACCCGGCCGCTGCTTCCTCGTCTACTTCCATGTAGCTTCGATAACCCCCGCGACGGACGGGACTGTTGTAGCCGTCCACGATGGAAATGGAGGGTTTGCGGGCCGCATGCTGCCCTGCTTGGTGGCCGTGCGAGGATTGTCCCTCCGCCATCAAAGGTGTTGAAGTGATCTGTGTGAACGTTCCGCCGTTTATTCCTCCATTGTCGTCGCTATCCCGTGCCTCTGCGTGTTTGGCGCTCGGCCCGCCCGCCTCGCCCCCCCGTAAAAGGCTGGTTTTCTCATCGTCCAAGGACAAACGCAAACCTTTACCAGCCCCATTTGCGTAGCCAGGACCGTCAATTCTACTGATCGTCATGCACTCTTGGATAACCAATCCTTCGGAGCCCAGGCCGGTCTCGGGCATGAATGGGTCAGTCTTTCGCCGCCCAGTGCGAGGAAGGGAGACAAGGGAACAGAATCTGTGTGTTGGGAAAACAAGGAAGGAGCTGTGGGTCCATGAACGAGGGCTGAATGTACTGTTAAACTCTAAGAATGGATGTATTCGTCGATCAGGATGTCTCGGTATTGAATAGGAGTTCGTAAAAGGCTAGTTGGGTTGAAAAGCGCCAAGGTGACGGAGAGAGGGGGCCGTTGCCAAGGGGAGGGTCGATTGGTTGAGGGTTAAATATGAATGAATTCCGACGACAAGTGCTTTCCACGAGGTCGTATGGCATACAGTTATGACAAGGGTTTCATTTCCATACTCTACTGTGCTCTTCCGTGCCGGTGTTTTGCACCAAAAGTCCCCCGACCTGAAGGACGTGGGGCTTCATGTATCCACAGCGTCGCGCTGGCATCCGGCGAGACGGTATGGAGGGGGGTCGTGGTAAATAATGGACCCTCACCGCCCGCTTGCATGCCACCGTTCCGTGTCAGGAACAATGTCATGCGCGTACTATGCCTCTCTCCGTTAGTCTACGTGGGCGCGCATGCCATGCCAGCGTTCCGGAGGTCGTTGTGCTGAATTTCCCTCCTAGCTAGGAGGTGCTATCAGTGGTCTCCTGCTCGGCGCCCGACTACTGTCCCGTGTTGATTCAGTCCTCCCTTTTTCTCTCCCAAGGATTGTGTTCTCGGCTAAACGATACAAGGCTTGTTACGCTCGTAATCGGCAGTATTCATGCGAGGACTCTTCATCAGGAAAGAGATGCGGGTCGTTTTGTTAATTGCAGGCCTCGTCAGTTTTCTGGCCGTCGGATCGAGCAGCACTTGCCCCACACCCGGAGACAAGACGCAAATCTCGCGAGCGCCGCGACAAGGATCAGGTACTTTACAAAGTGTGCCATAGCTTGATTGGCCTGATGCTGGGGTCGATTTAAATTTCGTTTTTTGAAAAATACCCCGCCGCCACCTCAATCCCTTCGGGACCTCATTCCTGATGCCGCGAGTGCCACACACCGCAGGCCCTCGGTGCTAGGGAAGTTTATACCTCTCTTATGTCACCATTTCTTGTAACTGTGCTGCACCATGCACATTTTCACAAACAGCTCATCTTCCGCAATGGGTAAGCAGTCGGGGAGGATTGACCCTACCCTTCCGCCAGCAACAAATCGCACACGCCAAGACAGCGACGGTCGTAAAAGGACCTTCAAGCAAAGGCAAAGCCGTCGGAAAAAGAGGGAAGAGCCCCGCGGCCATTGATGCCGGTGAAGCATATGCCACGGCCGTGCGTCGAACTCTTTTGGCGGTGGGCGCAGCCTTCGCGTTTGGATTTGGGCTTTGGTTCATGGAAGGTCGACAGCCGGCGATGGAATTTTTTGCCGGGTACCTGATTGAAGAGTCCTTAAGCGTTGATAACATCTTCGTCTTCATCATGCTTTTCGAATATTTCAAGGTAGGATTGGGAAGGTGGAGGGGAAGGAGGGAAGAAGAACAGGACAGGGAGCAGTGTGGCGGCACAGGGCCTTTCCTAGACGCCCACGCCCACGCTGTCCCTCTCTGTCTCCTTCCCTCCCTTAGGTCCCCATTGAATATCAATCGCGGGCCCTTTCGTGGGGAATCATGGGGGCCGTGGCCATGCGGGGCATCATGATCTTCGTAGGGGTGGCTGCCATTCAACGTTTCCGGTGGGTAGTCTTGCTCTTCGCGGGGGTGCTGCTCGGGAGTGCCTTTAAACTGCTGGCGGAGGTGGGGCACGAGGGCGGGGAGGAGGACCTGAGCAACAATCTGCTGGTGGCATGGGCCAAGAAATTGGTTCATGCGGTGGACGAATACGACGGAGACAATTTCTTCACGCGCAGGAACGGGAAGCGTTACGCCACCCCCCTTTTCATGTGCTTGATTTGCATCGAGCTCTCCGACTTCGTCTTTGCCGTCGATTCCATACCGGCCGTGCTGGGGGTTTCCAAGGTAAGGGCCATGGCCCTTCTCTTCGTCCGGCGGGTGGGATGCCTCGGATCGCTTTTTTCCCGTGTCTCTTGTCGCCCACCTCTTTCGCACGTCTTCTCCCTTCTTTGTCACAACGGGAGTCAGCCAGCCACCCTGCATCTTCGCTTTGCCAGGATCTCATTGTGAAAACTCCCTCCCTCCCCCCTCCCTCCCCCCAGGACCCTCTCATCGTCTACTCATCTAACATCTTCGCCATCATGGCCCTGCGTTCTCTCTACACGCTCGTGGCCACGGCCGTCAACAGTTTGGAATACATCAAGCCTTCCGTCGCCCTGGTTCTGGCCTTTGTGGGCGGGAAGATGGTCGCCGAGTTCTTCCACGTGGAAGTCCCGATCTCTGTCTCCCTGGCCGTCGTTATGTCCCTCTTGGGGGGAGGGATCGGTCTGAGCTTGCTGAAGCAGAGGGTGCTTGCGAGGAGGGATGTTTCGGGGTAAGGGAGGGGGTGCGCGGGAAAAGCGGGTGGAGGCGGGGGGCGACGCGGAAAACGGTCGCGCGGTGTACAAATCGAGATAGGGAGAGACCGTGGGGTCATGCGATGTCGTGCACGGTGCGCTTGTACGGTACTGTAGTCTATTAGACTCTGGTCTGTGAGGCAGACAGTGGCGATGGATGAAAAAGGGGGAAGGCTCTGTAGTATCTGACCTCGTTACGTGCAAAATAACCACACAGAGAAGTCAGTGGTGCAGAGGTAATAGTGATAGGATCTTTGTACGAAACTCGTGTTAGTATTTTTAAACGAGCAAATAAAGACAGGTGTGTGCATGCATACCATACGGTATCCTGATGGGTTGACCGATGGATTCTTTTCATTTACTGCCCCTGCACATCCAGCCACCCCGCAAAGGTTCCTCTGCTTCTCTTTCATACTTTTTTCTTTCCTCCTCCATGTTTCTCCTCCTGTACCACGACTGCCCGTACGTTTTTTCCGCCTCCCTTAACCACGCTCGCTCTATCGCTCGTGTGGAGAGCAATGCGGCAGGAATTCAGCCTGGGGGGTATCGTGGTGTGGATACTATTGTATTGCCCTGTCGGACACTTGGAGCCTGAAATCAACATTCGCGGATTAGAATCGCAACATGAATGCACCAGCTTCCTTGCCTAACCTATGCTTCAACTTTCGCATGCACAGACAAGAAATTATGACTGTACAGGGGCTGCACTTCGAGCAAACATTGCTGATCTTAGGCCTTCGACCAAAACAGTGCCTTCTCCCTGAAATTTTGCACTCCACAGGGGCATAATATGGGAATGTTGATAAAAATGCCAGACAATATTCGTAGGAATCGCATGCATGGTGTTATTGGGCCAGCAATCTACTTCCCTATTAGGGTTAATCTGGAGCGATCTCCACTCGGGTTGGCGAGCGGCTGCGGTCTTCCGAGTCAATTGTCACAGCGATACTGAGACCAAACCCAAAACGCTTTCCACGACCCGTTTGCTCATTGAAACCTCCATACAATACTCTGTTCATACTGCTATGTCTTTTAAATGTCGACCCACCCTGACCCTCTTTTTCGCATTCCACATCGCTATCACGGTGGATCAGTGGCTGCAAGAGGGAAAAGGCTCGGATAGGGAGGAACGCACACGCCGATCATCAGGGTGTGAGTCAAAGCGTCTTCCTCGCAAAATTAACATCCTTGCTCTTGGCCAGCACTCCTGATTGCATCTCACCTGCGACCTTTAAACCATGCGGCCTCTTCCTCTTCTTGTCCATTCCGCCGCCCTCGTGGTTTCTCTTCTCCCTGCCTTCCTCCTCTCCCTTCCCAACCTGGCCCGCGCAACCACGAACACTGGGGGCAACGGCGGTAGACATGGAGGCTCTTCGTGTTGGAGAAATCGAGGTCGTGGAAGTTTTTTAGCGCAAGCACCCGTTCTGCCCGGGGGAAGCCACGGTCCTGGTGGTATTGGAGGGCTTGCGGGCCCGCGAGGGTCAGGAGGTTCCGGCATAAGAATTGCCGGCCGCGGAGGAGCCGCGATCCCACCCACATCGTCCACGTCGACTTTGCCGCATGTTCCTGTGCCCCCATCAGATTACACGCGGCATTACCCCGCGCATGCCGTCACTCCTCTGGCGGCCTTGCGGCATTTTGTGGTTTCGGAAGAGAAAGGTCTCACCGCGGGGGAAGCCCAAGTGCGTCTTGCCGCCGTGGGGCCGAACGAGTTGAGCCCACCAAAGCAAACATCTTTGTTGGAACTTGTCGCCGAGCAATTTGAGGACCGGTTGGTGCAGATATTGGTGATGGTCGCGGTCGTATCCAGTGTGCTTTCCCTCTTTGAGGATGACCCGACTGCCTTTGTCGAGCCACTGGTGATTGTCATGATCCTTGTCATCAACGCTTTCGTGGGCATATGGCAAGGCCGGTCCGCGGAAGGCGCATTGGACGCGCTAAAAAAACTACAGCCGGAGAATGCTTGTGTCCTGCGGGAAGGGCGATGGCTGAATGACCTTCCCGCACGGGAGTTGGTGCCCGGGGATATCATTTTCGTCCGAGTGGGCGATAAAGTGCCGGCGGACGCGCGAATATTGGCCTTGAAGACCACCACCTTCTCCTGCGACGAAGGCTCCCTGACCGGGGAGAGCGCGAGTGTGTCCAAGTTCCTGGATCCTGTCTCGGAGGAAGCCCGGATCCAGAGCAAGACGAACATGATCTTCAGCGGGACCATGATCAGCAACGGCGCTGCGTATGCCCTGGTGGTGGATACGGGGGCGCGGACGGAGATTGGGAAAATCAACCAAGGGGTGGAGCAGGCGAAGCAAGAGCAGATCAAGACTCCCTTGGCCCAGAAATTGGACGAATTCGGCAATCAACTCACTTACATTATTGGAGGAATCTGTTTGGCCGTCTGGTGTTTCTCGTACCCAGAATTTTCCAACCCCGTCCACGGGTCCACACTGAAAGGCGCGCTCTACTACGCGAAGGTAGCGGTGGCCTTGGGCGTGGCCGCCATCCCCGAGGGGCTTCCGGCGGTGATCACGCTGTGCCTGTCCTTGGGGACCCGACGCATGGCCAAGCGCAACGTCATTGTCCGGAAGCTGCCCTCCGTCGAAACCTTGGGATGCACCACGGTCATCTGCTCGGACAAGACTGGGACCTTGACCACGAACCAGATGACCTGCGTGAGTCTGGTCACTTTGGCGGAAGGTGGGAAGGCGGAAGGGGGGGCAGTCATGAGCGAATTCGCCGTGGAAGGGGTCAGTTACAACCCGAGTGGCGCCGTGGAAGGCTTGATGCCGTCCGGCTTCGGGGCTGGGAACGCCCTGCCCAAAGGGATCGAAGACATCGCCACCATCGCCGCGCTTTGCAACGAGGCCAAAATCGTTTTCCAGGACGGGAAATTCGAACGGATCGGGGAGCCTACGGAGGCCGCCCTGAAAGTCCTGGTGGAGAAGCTCCACATTCCCGGGGAACCCCGGAATGAGGATCCCTTTGTGGCCTGCTCCCAGTACAGCAAGTACTGGGAAGGGAAGTACGCGAAACTGGCCACGTTGGAATTTTCCCGGGACCGAAAGAGCATGTCCGTCCTTTGTCGGCCTTGGAACGGGGGAGGGAATAAGCTCTTCGTCAAAGGTGCCCCCGACTTGCTGGTGGCCCGCTGCACGCGGCTGCGTCTGGCGAGCGGGAAAACCGTGCCCCTGACGAACGAGATGCGGCACCGGATCATGGCCAAGGTGGAGAGCATGGCCGTTCGGCCCTTGAGGTGTTTGGGGCTGGCGATGAAGGAGGGGGGAGAGCTGGGCGCACTGAACAAAGTGAGCACGGAGGAGGAAGCGGCATCGAGCCCCTTGTTGCGGAACCCCGCGCAGTTCGGTCAGATCGAAAGCGGGCTGACCCTGGTCGGCATTTGTGGGATCAAGGACCCGGCCCGACCGGAGGCTGCCCGGGCGATACTGCAATGTCGCGAGGCGGGCGTGCGGGTGATCATGATCACGGGGGACTCGCGGGAAACGGCGGTGGCAATTGCCAGGGACGTGCACATTTTTGGGCGGGAGGAAGACGTGAGTCGCAAGGCCTTTCGGGGCGCGGACTTTTTCGGGTTGTCGGAGCAGGAGCAACGGTCAATTTTGCGGTCGGGCAATTTGATTTTCTGTCGGACCGAGCCCCAGGACAAGCAGCAGCTGGTGAAGATGTTACAACAGGAAGGGGAAGTGCCGGCGATGACGGGGGATGGGGTCAACGACGCACCGGCGTTGCAACAGGCGGCGATCGGTGTGGCAATGGGGATCACGGGTACTGAGGTGTGCAAGCAGGCAGCGGACATGGTCTTGGCCGACGACAACTTCGCCACCATTGTCTCGGCCGTGGAGGAAGGCCGGTGCATCTACGCGAACATGCAGGCTTTCATCTGTTTCCTGATTTCTTGCAACATTGGTGAGATACTGACCATCTTTGGCGCCACCGTGTTGGGGTTGCCTGAGCCTTTGACCCCTCTTCACCTGCTGTGGGTGAACCTGGTGACGGACGGCCCCCCCGCCACCGCGCTGGGCTTTAATCCGCCCGACCCGGACGCCATGCTCAAGCCGCCGCGCAGCTCCACCGAACCCATCCTGAGCCGATGGCTGCTGATTCGCTACCTGATCACGGGGGCTTACGTGGGCTTTGCAACAGTGGGGATTTTTGTGCAATGGTTCCTGCGACGTGGGGTCACCTGGAAAGAATTGACGCATTGGGGCCATTGCGTGAACTGGGAGGACAGCTTCGCGCCGGACTTGGGCGGGTTGACGTCCCTTTTGGGCGAGCACCCCGACAGATGCGACGTCTTCGGCCCCGCCCTCGCCTCCCCTCAGACCTTGGCACTCTCCGTGCTCGTGACCATGGAGATGTTCAAGGCTCTCTCCGCGGTCTCCCTGGACAATTCCATTCTTCGGGTCCCACCCTGGAAAAACCCATGGCTTCTGGGGGGCGTGGCCCTCCCTTTTTCCATCCACTTGGCCGTAGTCTACTTCCCGTTCCTGAACCAGGTCTTCGGCGTGTCGAGCATGGCCGACTCCGACTGGCTCAACGTCCTCCAATGGGCCGCCCCCATCTTGCTCCTCGACGAGGTCCTCAAAGCGGTGGGTCGGTATTTAAAAGGCAAGGA